CCACATTTAGCTGATTCTTGCTTTTTGGCAAGATGAACATCACCATCTATTTGGCAGAGGACACTGCTGAGGCCTGCAAAGAGCTTGCACATCCTCATCAGCTGGCCAATTAGACATTAATTTTTAAACTAATCTTACTCAGAGTTGCAACTTCAGCTTTGGCTGTGCATTTCCTCCTTGCTTAGCATTTCATTTTAAATGTAAGCTGATGACTTTTGAGTAAAAGTTCCCTAAATAATGCTACTCTAGGGCAATGAATACAGATAAGCTTCTATTATTATTTTTTTTTTTTAATTAGAGCTGGTATAGTAAGCATACACAAATAAAATTTATCCTTAAACTGAGATTTTTTTAGCAAATATTAAGTCATCACTTATTTTCCCAAAAGTTAAGATGCTCTAATGTGTTTTATATTACATTAATGTTGAGAAATGTAATGCAGAAGTTGCAGTTTCCTGGAAAGAATGAATTGTTGACATTTTAAAAAATAGATGTAATAGAATGGATAATGACTCAAGTATTCATGCTATCAAGCATTTGTGTGGTCATATTGATTTATTTACCATTGCATGGAAACTAAGTAGCAATAGTGTTTGTTTTCTTAAGAAGTTAACAGTCTGAGTTACACTAAACCTTTCAATATTGTACCATTATGGCTTCTTCACAGGCTATTTGTTTCTTCTTTCAATTTCCTACAGAAACAAAATATTTGTAAATACTTTATTTCAAGGTAAACACTCTAATACTAGAGCTAATCAGAGAATTTAAAATCAACAGAAACTTTATTCATAAGCTAAGATATTGGCTCATTTTTTGGACAACTATAAGGGAAGAAAAATTCATGTTTAGGTTATTGCTGTTAGTACTATAAATGCAAACTCACCCTCTAGCTCCTGACAAACAAGGCTGTGATTCATATAACTAATTTGCAAGCAGTAGCCTCATTAAACTCTTACGGTGTTAAACTTCTCCATGTGCACACATTCACTGTGTTGCTGCTTCTGTCAGCTTTAAAATCACACTCCACTTCCATCGCTTTCAAGGGACTTGCATCATGGTAACAATTACTGCATGCAGTGGCAGTAGAACACAGACTACTAATTAATCTGTTAATTTATTCTAATTCCCTTGTTTGTCCACAATAAGATGCCTATGATCCTAGCCAATATCTTTGCAAATTAGCAGCTGTCTTCAAGAAATCATGTGTCATGTCCTGTTTCTAAGATATATGGTCACAGGTGTGACTGCCCTCAGATATTCAGCTGCAGGCTTTATGAGGGATTTCACCAGATGAAGATGGAAAATCACCTCCTTACACTGGATCTAAAGCACTGCTGGAATATTAGAGGCCAAGCCTTACTGCAGCTGGGGGGTTTGATGGTAAATAAATACAAATCCAAGTAATTATTTTATTAAAACTCCAGGCCAATTAGCACTCATCCAGTTTCTTTAAATGCTCTACCCTCCTATTTACCCTCCAGACACAGCAAATGCAGGCTGGACTTAGGCAGTAATCTCTGAAAGTCTACACTGCAGGAGTGGTAGCCATCAGGACACTTGGCTTCATAACCCACTTTGCAGGAACCAGCACAAAGCATCAAAGAATCACAGAATTGTCACGATTGGAAATGACCTCTAAGATCACCATGTCTAACCATCAAACATGTTGCTACCTGTTCACATCCCCCAGATGATGTTAAGACACCTCAGAGTCTCCCTGGTTCCTTTTTGCTGCAGCAAGGCAGGAAGCCCTCCTCCTGATAACCCAGTTCCAGCCCAGGACCATACTCTTAACATCCTTTTTAAGCTTTCTTTTTTACTGCAATCCTCACAAACGACCTACCCCACATGTCCATATCCCACATACCTGCACGCGTCCATTAGGACTTAGTTCCAACTACAGCTGTCCACAGGCCAGCCAGACCTCCCACCTGCCTACCAAGGAGCAGTGTAGATTCAGGAAAACAAGACAGAAAAGCATGTCAGCATGACTTGCACAGAATGACAAGACGTTTGAAGCCGTCCCGTTGCACCCCTGCCTTTGCTGACAGGTGACGCCCAAGTGCACATTTCTTACCCACAACCAATAGGAATGTGTGCTCAGGATGAGCCCAAGCTACAGAAGTATGGTCCAACCACGCCTCACCTGGGAGGCTGGAACATCCCAACACAAGATGCTTGATTACACAGTTTAGTGGTAGACTTGGTTGTATTAGGTTAACTCAATGATCTTTAAGGTCTTTTCCAATCTAAATTATTATTTGATTCTATAATCTAACACTCTGAACCAATACTTCTGTCTCTCCATGCTGAGTGCAATTGAGCACAGAAACAGTGGCAATAACCACCTTTACGACTTGATTCTGGAAGGACAGTACCCACGTGTGATGTGGAGGGCATAATTCCTTTACCAGGAAGGAACATCTGAGCAGGTGCCAAAGGCTCTCAGCAGCATGTGCATGTTACAGTGGTCAATCTTTATTTACATTTATCAGAGGGTCTGGCCTTGCTATCTCTGCAGAGTGGAGATGCACAACTCAGCCCTGACCATGAGAGAGGCCAGACTCATGGTGCAGAGGCAACCACCACCCATGACAAATCCCTTGGCACACCTCCTAGGGCCTTCTCCAGCTGCTGTAAATCTGTTTGGATACTTACCATGCTGCTACTCACTCCGAGGGGAGTGCGGGACTCAAGAAGTCCACCCTCCTGCCCTGCTCACTATGGTTCAGCA